TGTCGCACATGTGACGTCAGCGCCGCGCTGCACCATCTGTCGCAGACATAATGCGCATATCTCCGGTTCCGAAAGTCCACACGCAAACCCGAAAGAGGAGATTTCTCAAATCTCCACTTTGGTCGGAGTTTTTGTTATTATTCGTTTATAGTTACATCAACCGGAGTTCACGTGTGGATGAAAGGCCACACCGCATGATAAACTATTCGGTTTTCCTGATATCCGGCTACGTGTGTACAGGGCCTTAGACGGTAAGCCACGCTTTTATTACTTCACGCCTGGATTATTGTAACTCTGTGTTGATAGGAGTTAGCCAGGCCTCGCTCTCACAGTTACAGCTGGTATAAAATGCTGCTGCACGATTTTTGACTGGTACAGGCAGGCGTGAGCACATCACTCCAGTTCTGATGTCCCTTCACTGGCTTCCTGTCCAGTTTCGAATTCATTTTAAAGTTCTATTGTTTGTTTTAAGTCTTTGAACGGTCTTAGTCCCTCTTATTTGTCTGAACTGCTTCACTTTTACATACCATCACGTGCTCTTAGATCCTCTGACCAGATGCTTTTAGCAGTCCCAAAAAACTTTTATAAATCCAGAGGAGACAGAGCTTTTTCAGCTCTGGCTCCTAAATTGTGGAATGAGCTGCCGCTGAAGGTCAGGCAGGCCCCATCACTTTGTTTTTAAAACTCGTTTAAAAACACTTTTTTTCATTGGCTTTTAACCTAGAGTGAGTCAACATCTGTGTCTTAATGTTTTATTCTTTTACTTATGATGTTCTGATTATTATTATTTTTTATTTATTTATTTATTTCTTATATATATATATATATATATATATATATATATACATATATATACATATATATATATATATATATATTTAGGTGTTTTTACTGTTTTACTGTTTTTTGTTTGTTTTTAATTTTGTACAGCACTTCGGACGGCTGCTTCTTGTTGTGTCAGTGCTTTAGAATTAAATTGGTATGGTATTGGTATGGTTTGGTAATCACCACTGGCCATCCCTTGGCTCCACCATTATGCCTGGTCATGGCTAAAATTACTCCCTCCACTCGCCAGGCTCTGTCTCTGTGCTGCCTCGGACAAAAAAAAACTACCTCTCATCCTAAATAAACTGTAACTCATAACCACTTCAGTGTTTTCAGTGTTTCCCCCTACCATTATAAAAGCAGCTCCACCCTGTCAACAGAACCAAGCTCCCTGCCTACTGAACTCCCACCCCCGCCCCCACCCCCCATCGAATACTGCTGGCACTGACATAGCACTAAACTAGCAATACAGACGCGCTAGCTAAAAAGCTATGACTGTGGAGTTAGCACTCCGTCTTCCTCACTCTGAACCATCTCTACCCCCCCCCCCCCCATTCCCCCGTTCGAAAACTATTGGTACAAACAACACGCAACACAGACATGTCTCCATCTCCACCTATCCCCCTGTCAACAAAAATCATGGAATATATGAGCGCCCTGCCAAGGCAAGTAAACTAGGGGAAACACTGATCTTGCACCAAAAATAGTACAGTTTACTTACATTCCCTGTTCAATTCTTGTCCAGATAAACACTCATCTCAAAAACTACAAACATTCAGGTGCAGCTGTGGCTGAGTGGTTAGAGCAGTCATCCTCCAATAGGAGAGTTGGGGGTTTGATTCCACCAGCAGTCACATGCTAAAATGTCCCTGGGCAAGACACTGAACCCCTCATTGCCTCCGATGTGTGTCCCATCAGTGTATGAATGTGATATTAAGCACTGATTAGTTTGTATAGGTATAATAGAGTGCTGTATGAATGGGTAAATGGGCACCGATTGTAGTGTAAATCACTTTGAGTATCTTGATAAGATAGACAAGGCTAGATAAGTGCAGTCCGTTTAGCGACGGCGGACATCGGCCTACTGTTTGTTTTTTTGGAAACATTATGAATCTGAACATAAACATAGGAAGGAAGAAAAATGTCAGTCTTCACTCACTACATGGGTCAGTGAGCCTCTGTGACCCATTAACCCGCCTGCAGCTTTTCAAGGAACACTTTTAATTTGTCCTTCTGAACCCTGCAGAGCAGAAACATCCTGTAAGTGCTGCAGTTGTTGAGAAGATTTTACTCATCACAAGTAGACCATGGTTAAATTCTTTAAATTATTCTTCAAAGACAGAACGTTCACTTGTTGCCTTCTACATGCGAGCTTCTGTATGCGAGCTGGTCTGGGAAGCTCAGTCCTCACCTCCTTCTACAGGTGTGCAGTGGAGAGCATCCTGTGCTCCAGCATCAACGTGTGGCATGGAGGCTGCACAGCTGCAGAAAGAAAAGCTTTGCAGAGAGTGGTGAAGGCTGCACAGAAGATGTTGGAGTCAGTCTCCCCACCATCACAGACATCTACACTTTCAGATACAGGAAGAGGGCCATCTGCATCATGAAGGACCCCACTCACCCAGCACACACACTTTTTGTCCCGCTCCCCTCAGGAAGGAGGTTGAGGAGCATTAAGTGTAGAACCACTAGACTGAGGAACAGCTTCTACCCTGAAGCTGTTAGACTCATAACTATCTAATCAGAATAATCACTGTGAAAAATCACATCATGTTGCTGCTGATCTGTTTGCATTCATTCGTGCTCATCTGCTCACAGACTCATGTTCGTGCTGCTGTTTGGCATATTGTTTTTATTATTTTCATGCTACTAGTGCTTAGTGTATATTTAGTTTTTTTAGTTCATATCTTAGATCTTATTGTTTTTCTTTTACATTTTCTTGTGGGATGTAACAGGGACCCTGTGTACATAATCTTGTCCCACCACATGTACCACATGTGGTGTGTATGACAAATAAAACTGTCTGACTCTGACTCTATATCTTACCGTCAGATACAAATGTAACAAGCCAATCAATGTTTTTCCTTTTTAAGTCAATGCTTAGTGTTACTCCCTCACAGCAACATCAGCTGGGACATTTTTCATGTGAACTTTGTATTTTTTTATTTATTTTTGTATATGTACAGTGGTGCTTGAAAGTTTGTGAAATCTTGAATTTTCTATATTTCTGCATAAATATGACCTAAAACATGATATTTGCACAACCCAGTTAAACAAATGAGGAAAATATATTATACTTGTTCATTTATTTTTTTTGAATAAAAGGATCCAATGTTGCATATTGGTATGTGAATATTTGCATTCAGTACATGGTGTGTACCATGTTGCATGATCCACCTTCTCTTGAGATTCAGTTCATGGACAGATGTCCTGACATTTTCCTTTAGAGTTATCTGAGATAATTCAGAATTGTTTCATCAGTGATGGCAAGTCGTCCTGGCCAAGATGCAGCAAAACAAGCCCAAACCATGATACTACCACCACCACATTTCACAGATGGGATAAGGTGCAGGAATGCAGTGTTTTCATTTCTCTAAACAACACTTTTCATTTAAACCAAAAAGTTCTCCTATGATCTCATCTGTCCACAAAACATTCTTCCAACAACCTTCTGGTTTGTCCTCGTGATTTTTATCAAACTGCAAATGAGCAGCCATGTTCTTTTTGAAGAGCAGTGACTCTTTCCTTCAACCCTGCCAGGCACACCATAGTTGTTCAGTGTTCTCCTGATGGTGGACTCATGGACATTAACATCAGTCAATGTGAGAGAGGCCTTCAGTTGTTTATGTTACCCTGGGGTCCTTTGTGACCTCGCCCACCACGTCTTGCTCTTGTAGTGATCTTTGTTGGTCCACCACTCCTGGGGAGGGTAACAATGCTCTTGAATTTCCTCCATTTGTACACTATCTGTCTGACTGTGGATTTGTGGAGTCCAAACTATTTAGAGATGGTTTTGTAACCTTTTCCAGCCTGATGAGCATCAACAACTCTTTTTCTGAGCTCCTCAGAAATCTCCTTTGTTCCACACAAATGTTGTTAAGAGCAGACTTTGATACGTCCTGTTCTTTAAATCAAACAGGGTGCCCACTCACACCTGATCATCATCATTAATTGAAAACACTTGCCTCTAATTTAACTTTCAAATTAACTGATAATCCTAGAGGTTCACATACTTTAACCACTCACAAATATGTACTATTGGATCATTTTCCTCAATAAATAAGTGACCAATTATAATATTTTTGTCTCATTTATTTAAATGAGTTCTCTTTGTCTACTTTTAGGTCCCATTTCTGCAGAAATATAGAAAATTCTAAAGGGTTCTCAAACTTTCAAGCGCCACTCTGTGCACTCTAGTTTCTTCCAACAGTCCAGTCCTAATGATATGTTACCTGTTTGAAATTGATAAGTCTTATATTAGTTGTCTCATCTCAGGTGTAGGACTGTCATTGTTAACCCGGGCCCGCACCCAGACAAAATACTGTGCTGGATGGGCAGGCCGGATCCGTGTTGAGCTTTTGATTGTGTCAGCGGACACATGCGTGGCTGACGATCCAAATTGGATCACCAGCCGCACACGGCTGTTTGGCCACATGCTGACCGGCTGGTTGAAAGAGGTAAAAAAAACAAGAGTCCAGACGGATTACTGCCAGCGACCCACATTAACTGGACTCGTCCGCTGTGTCAGCGGACATGCGCAGCAGACAACCCAATTTAGATCATCAGCTGTGCAAGTCCGCTGACTATTAATAACCATAATAACAATAATATTATAATAACTATTATAATCCGCTGACTCTTGTTAATAAACAAGAAATCTTATATCTTTCTTTCTTTGAAATACGTTTTTAAATCATGTCAAACTGATTTGCTTACAAAAGCAGTAAAAGCTTAATTTATTTATTTATTTTTGGGTTTGGGCCTTTAATCACAGTTAATTGGTCGGTTTCGGGTCAGGCTCAGAAAAATGATATGGGTTTGGGCTGGGCCCGGTCAGATTTTTTAGGCCCAAATGCAACTCTACTCAGGTGTGACCATCTGTGTCCTTACTACTCATTTTGTGAATGACAACTGTTTAATCCAAAGTTTTTTTTTTCTTATTTCACTCCTCTCTTCAGACTCCATGACCGTAAGATGTGCATCATTGGCCTGAGTGTGTTAATGGAGCTACCTAGTCGGCCAGCAGCTTTAGAAAGAGTAGCTGCTCAGATTATTCCTTCTCTCCTGCTCCTTTTCCTGGGTCTTAAACACCTTTATGCCTCACGTCTCATCAACAAACCAAACCCACTGGCCCACACAGGAGTTCAGGATGAAGACCAGAATGGTGAGAAACATCTGCAGTGTTTGAAGATGATAGAAGCAAAAATTAGACAAGGCAGAAAAACAAACTACAGTTGTAGTTGTTTTACAGCATCAGAAGTTTAATCACCATCACTGTTTAATTACCCAAAGACGAAAAGGCAATATTGTTTTGTGTTTGTGTGTGCATTTGTCTGTAGTTTTAGAAAAAATGATCAGGAATATGCTGAAAGTAAACATTGGTTGTACAACTACAACTGATTCACTTTTGGATTCAACCCAATCCAAGATGGCCCCCTAAGCTAAATGACCTTAACCAACACAAATATGTCTCTAACAGTCTCATTGCTAAAATTTGATGCAAAGAGTAGCACTTTGGAGAACATGGTGGCTCAAATGGTAAAGCTGTTGCCTCTTAGTGAGAAGGTCACCAGTTCAAATCCCGACCGGGGGCCTTTCTGAGTGGAGTTTGAAGACTCTCCGTGCATGCGTGGGTTTTCTCCAAGTACACCGATTTCCTCCCACAGACCAAAAACATGCATGTTAGGCTGATTGGTAACTCTAATGCCCCTTTTCCACCACTCTTACTCATCCCTGCTCAGATCAACTCTTTACACATTGCATTTCCACCGCACTTCAGGACAGGTTCTGGGGGCGTGTCCAAAATCCTGCTAATGAACTTTTAATGAACTTTAGTTCACCATTAAGAGTGAGAGTTCTGTGATGGAGTTAAACTCAAAGCAGTCTGCTCCTCATATAAATAATGTTAAATTATTATTTTTAAATATGAATGTTTCTGTTCAGTGCCTTGAGCCGACTTCTGTTGTGATTTGGCACTATATAAATAAACTGAATTGAATTAAATTTCTGATTAACCAAATTCTACAAAAACATCTATATTTAAACTTCTATATTTTTCGTCATCATTTGATGTATTTGTACTCGTGTCTACTTTTATTGTTCAATTTAGATGTGTGGTTTTGTTTCTTGTATACAGATTTTATTTTAGCTTTGATTAAAAGTGCAATTCTTGTTTTGTGATTTGTACATGTGTGGGTTAGAATAAAGTTGAATTAAAGGCTGTAGCTCTTCTTTTAACATGTTTGAGGGAAATAGTCCTGAGAGATCCAATAATTTTGTCTTTTTATGATTTTTCAGCTGAATTAACTTTAATTAACAGATTATTTAATAAAGTCATAGTGAAAGGATTTCATGATAAAGCCAGCACCATTTTATTTTATTTTTATTCTTCACTGATAAAAAAACGTAATTTTTTTATACATAAAATGTTATTTAAAAAAACGTTTCCACCCTCTGTCCCGGTCCTCTCACCTGCCAGGGCTCGGGGTCCAGCCTCGCGTGCGTCAACAGGTCGGCAGCTCGTATGATCCTCCATGGTGACTAGCTCGCTCGAATTTTGTCATCGGTCACCAAACACAAAAAAACTCCTGGACTTCAGCATTAAACACTGTGTTGTCATTATTGTTTTTAAAATCTTAAAAATAGATCCAGCCGCTGCTACGCATTCCAAGAAATTGCAAATGGCGGATCAGTGAAGAGTTTCTGAGAGAGATCCAGTGACTCCTCCCCCTGACCAATCAGTGACCGACAGTGTTCTGACGTCACACTTATGTCTCGACTCAACTCGAACTGTCCCACCAGAGAAGTAGGGACCAAAAAAAGAGCTGAATCAGCTAAAAAGTACTGGTGGAATTGGGATCTTTCTGTGGCAGGCTGAGCAGAGTTGGGGCTGAGTAATAATGGTGGAAAATGGGCATAAATTGTCCCTGGGTGTGAGAGAGAGTTCAGTGTTGGGTTAGGGTACAAATCTACTTCCTCTTTCTCTGTATAAGATGACTAAAATGTGCATTAATTTAATTCATTTCAGTTTATTTATATAGCGCTACGTCACAACAGAAGTCATCTCTGGTCACTGCACAGAAACATTCATATACATAATAAGTAAGTTAAAATGATTTATCTGAGGCGCAGACTGCTTTGAATTTAACTTAATCACAGACTCATCTTGAGCAAGCATGAAGGCATCAGGTGTGTAAGGATATTTTCAGAACTAAGAGGTGTAAACATTTTTACAAAACAAATCTAACGTACATTGCCACATATGTTTCATTTCTTTTTTAACACAGAAACTATTTCATAAGTTTCCCTGTTTAGGACATTCACAGTGTAAAAGTATAAAAGTAAACAGTTTGTTCTCTTGAGTCTGCCTGTTTTCTGCATGAAAACACCACAAGCTTACTGAACCACAACAAAAGCTGCAAGGTTATCTGCTAGTGTTGTCATGGAAACACAACTCGTGTGCTTTATCAAGGATAAATAACTTTCTGTTCATTGAAAGACAAAGTTTTCTGACCTCTCTCTCTCTGTTTGACAGCTATTAAGCAATATTTTGCTGTGGTAGTAGCTGACAGTCATTCACACACTCAAAGTACTACTCCATCCATCCATCCATTATTTTTTACCCGCTTCATACTTTTTGGGTCACGAGGGCCACTGGTGCCCATATCCAGCAGTCACTATGCGAGAGGTGGCGGACACCCTGGACAGGTCTCAGTCCATCACAGGGACACATAAAGACAAATGAGACAAACAACCATTCACTCTCTCTACAAATGGAGATTGTTGAGTTTCGCTAAACAATCTAGGAGCTAACACTACTTGGACCCAGAATGCAATAGGAGTAATCTGAACCAAACCCAACACAAGAATGGTGGCTGTAACAGACTTTTGAATTTTCAAGAAGAGGGTGCTGTTCTCCCATAGTCTGATAGATCTTGAACAGGACCCAGCAACCATCTGGATCTGATACAAACTCTGAGCTCACTAACAGGAGAAGAGAGATCTGCACCTGCTACAAATTCTGACAATTTGTTTGTCCAGCACAAATAACGAGTTAGTCAGGTTTTACAATCAGTTTTAAAACATATACAAAATAAATTCGAACAGAAGCCATTTTAGCAAAACTGTAGCTAAAAGCAAACATTAGCAAAACAGTTGCTAAAGGCTTAAATTAACAAAATACTAGCTAAAAGTCAAGTCAAATTTATTTATAAAGCACATTTTAAAACAGCAGCTGTTACCAAAGTGCTTAACAATAAAAAATCAATTGCAGTAATTTAAGGGGAAAATAGTAACAAAAATGAATTAAAAGCATCAAAATAAAAACATCAAACACAAAATAATAAAATACTAAATCATATCACATTGTGTTAAATGGCAGTGAAAACAGATGTGTTTTTAAAGAGGTGTAAAAACAGGAAGTTAAGTGGCCTGTCTAATTTTGGGGGGCAGATTGTTCCAAAGTTTAGAATCCACAATTGAAAAAGCCTGATCACCTCTGAGCTTCAACCAAAAGCAACTGATCAGATGATCTCAGCGCCCGAGAAGGAACATATGGTTGAAGTAGCTCAGAGAGATAAGAGGGCGCAAATTCATTTAGACACTTAAAGGTCAACATCCTGATGCATGCTCAATAATCCAGGTAGAAAAATCCAAAAAAGTTCAATCTGGTCCTCTGGACATTCAAAAAAACAAAAGCAAAACAAAGCAAAAAAAAATCTAGAAACGTTTCGTCTCTCATCCAAGAGACTTCCTCAGTCTGAGGTGCTGTTTTCAGTGTTTTCAGCTCAGTCTCTTAAATAGCACCTTCTTAGAGTGGATCAACCAGTTTGCTGCTGACAACCAAAACCAGCTGATCACATGCTCAAGAAGGACCATCAGCCTAACAATGGGTCATTAGCACACTGATGGCTGTTTACTACTCACAGAGGGCTGAGTGATACTAGCAATCACAGCATTGTAAGAGGGGGACAGTTGAACCCGGAGGCCTCCACCCCTGTTTAATGATGGATGATTTCTTTTCACAAAGATGGCCTCCTTTACTCCTCTCTCAAACCATCGTTCCTCTCTGTCCAGGATGTGAACATCTTCATCCTTGAAAGAGTGACCGCTGGCCTGGAGATGAGTGTAGACTGCAGAATCCTGGCCTGATGATGTTGATCTTCTGTGCTGGGCCATCCTTTTGGCCAGTGGTTGTTTAGTTTCCCCGATGTAAGACTGATCACAGCCCTCCTGACACTGAACAGCATACACAACATTACTCTGTTTGTGCCGGGGGACTGGATCTTTGGGATGAACCAGTCTTTGCCGTAATGTATTTTGGGGTTTAAAAGCCACTGGGACGTTATGTTTAGAAAATAAACGTCTCAGTTTCTCTGATACCCCCTCAACATACGGAATGACCACTGGTCTGGGTTCCTCCTTTTCACCTGATGGCTGACTGGAGTCCTGTTTGGGTTTCTTCTCTGCTTTCAGGAAGGCCCAGTTAGGATATCCACATTGCTCTAGAGCCTGTTTTGTGTAGGATTTCTCCTTCTGCCTGGCTCCCGAGCTAGTGGGGACGCTGTCTGCTCTGTGATACAGAGTCCTGTTGACTTGTGCTCCAAAGGGTGATGGGAGTCAAACTGCAAATACTGGTCTGTGTGGGTGGGTTTGTGGTACACCTCGGTTTGCAAATGTCCTCTATCCGAGACTGAGACCTCACAGTCCAAGAAAGCCAACTTGCCATTCTTTACATCTTCTCGTGTGAACCTGATGTATTTATCCACAGAGTTGATGTGGTCAGTAAAATGTTGGACTTCCTGAGATTTAATTTTAACCCAGGTGTCGTCAACATACCTGAACCAATGACTTGGTGGTGTCCCTGAAAAGGACATCAAGGCTCTCTTTTCTACCTCCTCCATGTACAGGTTGGCAACAATAGGAGAAACTGGAGACCCCATAGCACACCCATGTTTCTGCCTATAATATTGCTCCCCATATGTGAAGTAGGTTGACTGCAGGCACAGTTTCAAGAGTTGACACAGTTGTTCTGTGGAAAGCGTGGTCCTGCTGCTCAGAGTGGTGTCTGATTTTAAT